ATTTCAACACAGTTTTTTTTTTTGGGGGGGGGGTGACACAATTCAATCCATAACAGGATGGTAACTGTCTTAGTTATCTAGTTCTGCTATAACAGAAATACCACAAGTGGGTGGCTTTAACAAACAGAAATTTATTTTCTCACAGTTTAGGAGGCTAGAAGTCCAAATTCAGGGTGCCAGCTCTAGGGGAGGCCTTTTTCTCTCTGTCGGCTCTGGAGAAAGATCCTTGTCTCTTCTGTTCCTGGGAGATTTTCATGTGGCTTTGGATCTCTCTTCCCCCATCTCTGCTTGCTTGCTTGTTTAACCTCTTTTATGTCTCAAAAGAGATTGATTTAGACACACCTTACATTAATACTGTCGCATTAACATAACAAAGAAAACCCATTCCCAAATGAGATTACAATCACTACAGAGGTTAGGATTTGCAACACGTATTTTTGGAGGGACACAATTCAATCCATAACTGTGACTGTAGTTGTCAGGAGCACAGGCACTGAGGCCAAACCACCTGGATTCAGATCCCAACTCCTTCTGTTACTAGCTGTGTAACCTTAGGCAAGTATCTTAACCTCTCTGAGCTCCAATTTTCTCATCTTGAAATGGGTATGATAACAGTACCTACCTCGGAGTTGTCCTAAGGATAAATTAACTGAGATCATACATGAAGGGCACTTAGAACTATGTCTGGCACCGTGGTAAACATTCCGGCTCTTTATTCATTCAACAAATATTTACTGAGCACTTACTTTGTGCCAGGATCCTGCCTTAGGCTTTGGGACACAGCAGTCAACAAAACAGACCAAAATTCTTGCCCTCAAGAAACTTTAAATGTTAGCCTGGAGAGACAGACAATAAACAAGTGAATGGGTGAAATATACAGATTACCCTATGGAGGAAAAAGCAGAAAGGGAGATTGGGAGTGCTGAGGGGTTGAGTTTTAGATAAGATTGTCGAGAGAGGTCTCACTGAGAAGGTGACATTTGAGCAAAGACCTGAAGGAGGTGAGGGCCGGTCACGTGACCATCTGGGGAAGAGGGTTCAAGAAACACGGCTGATGTAAGCTAGTATATGTACATTCAACGTTCATATACATCGCTGGACTTAGGTTTTAAAGTATTTTAGTAATAAACACTTGTTTTTATTTGGATTTCCGTAGACGGAATCTGGAAGCATGGAAATGCTACTTCATAAAAGTTGTCTCACCACACTTAACCTTAGTTGTTTTTTGTTTTATTAATAAAAGCTACAGAGATGATTCATCCTTAATTTTTAAGATGGACAATTCAATACAATCACTGATGAGGACCAAAACTATGAAATGGGATGACACAGTATGTTAGTGTCCTAGTGCTGCTGTAATAAAACCACAAAGTAGGTGGCTTTAAAGAACAGAGATATTATTGTCTCACAGTCCTGGAGGCTAGGAGTCCAAATTCACGACATTGGCAGAGCCATGTGCTCTCTGCCCACTCTAGCAGAAGATCCTTCCTCAACTTGTCAGCTTCTGTAGCCCTAGGCGTATCTTGGCATTCCTTAGCTTGTAGCTGCATCTTCCGTGTGTCTCTGTGTCTCTTCTCCTCTTTTTAAAAGGACAGTACTCAGATTAGATTAGGACCCACCCTACTCCAGTATGACCTCATGTTAACTTAATTGACTACATCCTCAAAGACCCTATTTCTAAACAAAGTCACCTACAAAGGTACTGGGGTGAGGACATCAACATGTCTTTTGGGGGGACATCATTCAATCCATGACACACAGCTTAAGAAATAGACACAGCTTGAGACCCAACTGGTTTTATAGCCTTTTTTCTGTGAAGGCTTTGCTCTGGTACAAAAGTCTGGACACGCTGCAATTTTGGGTGGTGATGGCTAGTTAAGAGAAAATGAGATTGACCATTTAGGTGAGCTGGTCATGGAAGCCGTGGAGTGTCCTTGGGAAGACTCTGGGAATATGGTCAGATGGATGGGAGACTTGACTTTTCATGAAGTTCCTCTGGTTCTGGGGTTTCTTTATTAAATCTGAGAAGCTGAGCATGGGTGATAGATAAGCCACCCCCTTCCTGAGTGTTCACCTGCCCTTGTCTGAGGTGACAGCATTTTAGTCCGTTACATTCTGCCACAGCTGGTGAGAGCATTTAAACTTGGAATGGCTGGAGTATGGCACTAGGAATTAGGGCTTCTTTTTTTCTTTTGAAGGATGAAGAATGTATTCGGCCTGGTCCTGCTACAGATTTGAGTTTCCTGGAGAAATTAGAAGAGAAAGTGGGCAAGCATGCACATTTTCAAACGTA